GAGAATACGGTTCTGTAAAATTACCGTGAATGATCTTTGTTGGATTGCCACTCTCTTCATGCCATATTACAATTGTCTTGTTATCTTCATTAGCGACATAAATTGTATTATCTGTGCTCACAAAAATGGCCATAGGAACGCGACCAACAATCGATTGGTTAGCAATAGTAATTCCATTTGAATTCCAAAGGGGTGTTGCAGAAAACATTGGTTGATTGAATGAAAGAGCTAAAACGAGAAAAATATAAAGTATATTAGAGAAGAACTGAAGAGGGAATGAAATTGTTAATTTCTTTTTTTTCTTAGAAAAATTTATTGAGATTAATTTTGAAAAGATTTTTATGATTGTTGTTGTATTTTCTTGGATAATTCGTAAATATGAACTAAGAGAGGGATGACTTCATTAAAGCAGGGTGTCGGTGTGGGTGTTAGTGGGTGTGGGTGTGTGTCTGCGTGTAAGTGGGTGTGCATGTAGGAGAGACACTCACATCCGCACTCGGTCGAGCACCTTACAGAATAGGTAGCTTGAAATGCAGACTACTTTCTTCAAATGAGTTATATCTTGAAATTGCCAAAGATACAGTTTCCGAACTATGACTAGTTAGAAATTTTTTGCATTAATTAAGACTTTCGGCAATTGCAAAAAGTTCTGTTTTTCTTGGATTGTTGCCGCAACAAAACTGAACTATTGGCTACTCCTTAGAGTTTCGTTTTGATTTTGGCAAGAATCCAATCAAAACAGAACTTTTGACAATTGCCAAGTCACTTGCGAAAGTCTGTACTGCAAAACTCACATTCTCCATATATATATATAAATATACAGTGACGTCATTCCATTTATATCTTCTTGCGCTCTACAAGTGCACTTCGGTATGCATATGTTCAGACATTTTCCATTTCATTCTCGTTGCTTCCTAACGTCATACACGTATAGAAAAATAATAAAATTTCAAGTTTCAAAAAACTCCTGCAGCCAAAGGGTTAATATAAGAGTTCTTACGAGTTTATTCTTGCATAAATGATATGATATAACAAGAATGCAAAACGAATATAAAGATGTTCTTAAAAGCTATTGTAGTAAATATTGTAACTTCAATTATTTTTGAAAAAAAATGGTCAAGAAATTAATATTTTGAGTATACTATAGTACAGCTAACTAGAATATCTCTTTACTTACATGGATTTGCTGTTGTATTTGTTGTTTTTGTTGTTGTTGTGGTCGCTGTTGCTGATGACGTTGTCGGTTCTATATGAAACAAGAATATTTAATGGGATTTTCTCCATCACTCATTATTTCTCTATCTATTAATAAGATATCTGGCTCTAAATATATTCATATGAGTTTCCTCGTCTCTTCTTCTTCTATAGTATTTATTTATAACTATGTTTCTGTTACAATAATTGTAACAAATCAGTTGACACAACATGAATTTACTGCTAAAATCTTTTCGAATCTTATAGATTGACTCAAATGGTATAGTTCATTCTATCAAAGTTTTCGAGAAAATAATGACGTTTACATATAATAAAATTCATAAAATATCTAATGCTAATTGTCATTTAAAAATATATTATAAAATAGTTGAGCAAATGAGTCTTTTCTCTGAAGACTATATTGATCTCATTTATCAAAGTGTATATAAAATGTCAATAATAATATTTTAAATTGTTTCATTCACTCAAACAGTTATAAATAATGGTTATTCTTATTAATTAAAAACATATTCATTTCTTTTTTTTTATAATTTTATCATGAAGGAGCAAGTGGGTAAGAGCTCAATCTGTCGCATATAAATGATTTAGTTTAATATGTTGTAGAATTACTAAATTCATCTACATGATGTATAGAAGGTGTGCTTCAAAAGAATAAGTAGTTTAGTTTTGAAAAAACTACTTAATCAATTATTTTGTTAAAATGCAAATAGTCTACTATTCAACGAGATTCAAGTCTTTTAAACCTTCGTTGTGGAGTATTCTTTGTTTTTATCGAAGAGAAAACTATATATTATTTCTTTATGCTTCGTTGTTCGAATAGAATATCCAGAAAAAAAAGTCAAATCTAAATTCTTTTTGAAGAACTATACCTTTTGGTGTTGTAATGATTTCTGCTATTGATGATTTTGTTGTTGTCGATTTATTAATATTTGTTTTTTTTGTTAATACGATAGATGGTGGAATAATTATGATCGACATAATAGCAACAATAGAAATTATGATCCACATCAATTTTCTCTTTTCAAATCGCTCACATCTAGAATAAAATAGATTTATTTTTGTATTCACTACGATTTATAATATGCATACATGTTTCGTAATAGAGTAGTTGGTGCCTGAGCGCTGCCATTGTTTGCAGGCTGAGACTAAAACAAGTAAAAAACAATCATTATTTTGTATTAATTCTTTTAATACATTACAAGACAAGCTTCTGCTCGATTTGTTGTCATAGCCGATATTTTTATTCAAGACTGATATTCGTAGAATACTTGTGTAATTGACGATCTATGGGAATTCGAAAATAAATAAAAATAATATCTCAAAGTTTTTAATCTTGCACAATAACTGTTAGAAAACTATCTAAAATTATTTATGAAATGAAGACTTTTTAGTTAAAGCAAAAAGAAAATTATGCAAATATTTGGTTGATACGATAAGCATAAAAGTCACATACAAAAAAAAGGAAATGCGTAAGTCAGTTCTATACTTTTTTTATAATTTTTTTATCTATATTTTTTTCAGTGTTTAGTATTATTCAGCATAAAAATCGAACTAAAATAGATACTATAATTGATTTGATGCCGTGTAATATCATAATGAACAAGCAGGAATCATCATTTTCAACAATTCCTAGGCCCTTATCGCATTCAGCTTCGACACAAGTCTATTCACATCTGTTAAAGAAATGCATATAAGTGTATTCATGTGTTTTGAACACGTTCTAATAATTTTATTTTCTCTTCATATGAATATCTTCTCTTCTTTAATAAGAATTTATCTATATTTTTTTTTAATGTATATTGATATAAAATGACATCTGGCCTTTGCTAGCTTTATTACATATCTCTCAGTGTCTAACTATAACAAAATAAAGGAAAAAAACGTTTTGAATTATGACGTCCGTATGTAATCGTTTTGAAATGCCACATTTCATTAAATATTTTTATTCCTCAAGAAATTATCACTTTATCCTATTTGTGCTGAAGAAAACCAGATTTTTTCTCAGTCAAATTCTCAGTTAATTGACTACAAATCTATCAAAAATATACTTCCGAAGTATAATGATTATTTAGATAATTTGTGCGGTAGCATATCAAGATTCAAGTCGATTTATTGAGTACTGATGCTTTTTGAAAACTTCTGTTTCAGGAAAATTCAATAACTTAGTTATTAGACCGATACTTTTACCACTGCACGATCTCTTTAATGCAAAAAAAATGCTGCCTTTCTTTTTTTCTTTCTCTTTAGAACAACTTATGACCAAAATGGTGACAGATGTGTGTTAAAAATCTTTCATACTAAAATACAGAAGAAAAAATTAAATATAAAATATGATAAAAAGTATTTAAGATCATGAATTATGAAAGAAAATCTAAAGTGTATTTAATAGAAACAGAACACTTATACCAAAATATTTTATTATAGTTTATTCATTTAAAAAAATAGTGAGTTACAAGCGATATCTTTTGCAATGAGTATATTGTGTCCAATTCAAATCATACTCATATAGAAGAGAAGTGTATTATAAGATTCCAGTGATATAGTTGACCATGTTACAGTTAAATGGAAATCAAAAATAATCAATTGGCATAATCTGAAAGAAAATTTAATTTTTGTTGCTTAATTTTCGAAGTGAAAGGATAATTTTCAATTGAAAAACATACTTGTTCTCATTTCGCTGGTATTTTCTTCAAATATATGAAGAAGAATTTACTCTTGTCTGTATTCCATTATATTTATAAGAAGATTATGATGCGTAGAAGTTGATCTTATACTTATTAGTAGGTATTGCACGCAATCTACGAATCGACGTGAAGCTAGCACCACGAAACGTTAGCACCACCAAAAAAATAACCAATCAGATTTCGTCCATAAAATACCCATGATATCCATAGATTACCATGCAAAACTTCTTAGTTACCATCAAAAATCAATCTTAACACACACTTTTAGACCATCTGCTACTCCACGCATGTACCAAGTCAGCATCCAACCTTCCTCAATCAAAAATCCCACCAAATCAACGATAAAACACCACCACAAACAAAACACACAATCGACATATAATCTGTCATACCTTCTGCACCAACGATTTCCCGAGCATACAAACTCTTCCCATCGATGTAGAATTGAATTCTGCATCGAACGGAGTTATTTCCATGCCCCGGCAATATTTGTGAAGAACGAAAAACCGCCAACAATACCCCCAATCTTTTGGTTTTTAAGAAAACTTAAGATCTTTGGGGTTCATCAAAATATTGCCGGGGAATGAGACTTGTGCCAATCGATGTCGAATTGAATTCTGCATCGAATGGAGTTGTTTCAATGCCCCGGCAATATTTCTGAAGAACGAAAAACCGCGAACTATACATCCAATCTTTTGGTTTTTAGGAAA